GCATGGCAATATTTCCGTAAAACGTTGTGGACACTAACATTGGAAGTTCATGTGATTTTCATGTGTCACAAAATATTGTTATTTTGACTTTTTTGCTAACAAATGTAAAAATTTGGGGTGCCTGGGTGGCTCCATTGGTTAAATGTCAGCCTTCGGCTCAGGTCATGATCTCAGGGTCCTGGGATCGAGCCCCACATTGGGAGTCTGCTTCTCCCTCTGCTCCTTCCACTGCTGGTACTCACTCTCTCTCTCGCTGTCAAATAAATAAATAAATTCTTTTTTAAAATGTAAAAATTCCAGTATTCAGCATGGTGTTGTTGATGGTGGTCATCATTCTGTACATTAAAACCCCAGACTCATTCATTTGATGCTAAAAAGAAAAGTAAAAATCATTCTTGCCTCGTGGGCTGTACAAAACCAGGACACTGGCCGTACTTGCTGACCTCTGTGTAGATCTCCAAATCAGACAGATGAGGAGTTCAAATCCATTCTTCTTCTTCTTCTTTTTAAAAAAATATTTTATTTATTTATTTGACAGCACAAGCAGGGGGAGTGCAGACAGAGGCAGAAGGAGAAGCAGACTCTCAGGTGAGCAGGGAGCCCGATGCCGTTCCATCTCAGGACCCGGGGATCAGGACCTGAGCCAAAGGCAGACACTTAACCCACTGAGCCACCCAGGTGCCCCAAATCCATTCTTAAGTCCTCAGTATGTGATCCTAGGAGAACTAAAGTTCTGATGCCTAAGACTCAGTTTCCTCATCTGCATAATGGAAATATTATGCACCTTGATGAGAATTAGAAATAGTATATGCTTAGTGAATAATAAAGCAACAAAGGAGCCTTCCTTTTGCATTCAAGGCTCAGCCTGAAGGGCACTTGATTTGCAAAGAGGAGCAGCTTTCTGTCACCTCTGTGAGGGCTTATCAGTAGCAGCAGAGTGACTATTTCCAGGGACTCTGATACAGGTTTTTGTGTAAAAAACTCAAACATTTAGAGGCTGAAGACACTCTCTTGCAGGAGATTCTGGGGCTTTGGAGAATGGTGGCCATACAGAGCTGAAGGAAGCCTGTTTTGAATGCGAAGTGAAAGCTCCAGCCTTCCCAGGAGAGCAAGATTGCAAAGCTCCCAAGATGACACCTGAAGAGAAGCCGAGAGAACAGGGTCCATCTGCTTAGAGACTGGGTTCTAGGGCTAAGGGGTACCTGTGCTGCTGATGCTTGGGCCACAGTTGAAGAGTCCTAAGCACACCCTGTATGCTTTTCCTGGGAGGCCGGGGTGGGGTACTTCCCCAGCAAGTGCTCATTCTGGTCCAGAGGTGGCTGTGATGAGAACCAGGACGGGAGCACCCTGGATTGTGCCGCAGTCACCATGGCTCTTCCGTGTGTTTGGGGAGCCCGGGGAGGAGGTACTTGGCTGGGGCACGTCCTCCCCCAGAATCACTATCTGTCCTTGTTGCAGAACAGGATCTGAAGGCAAGCAGAAATGTTCAAAGCAACCCGTACTGTACGGTATAGTGCCTGTTCCCATCTGCATTTAAAAGCATATCTAAATAAGACACAGGGATGCGACATACAGCACAGGGAGTATAGTGAACACCCTACGAGCTGTGTGGTGATAGGCGGGAGCTAGATTGGTCGTGATCACTTGCTAATGTATAAAAATGTCGAATCACTATCTTGTACACCTGAGACGGATATATTGTATGTATTGTATGTATGTATGTCGACTATACCTCAATTAAAAAAAAAAACATCCAAATTAAAATTCTTTTTAAAAAAATTAAGTGTAGGGACGCCTGGGTGGTTCCTCTGCCTTTGGCTCAGGGCATGATCCCAGAGTCCCGGGATGGAGTTCCACATTGGGCTCCCTGCATGGAGCCTGCTTCTCCCTCTGCCTCTGTGTGGTGTGTGTCTCTCATGAATAAATAAATAAAATCTTTTTTAAAAATTAAGTGTATCTATTTGTGAGGGGGCAAAATGCCAGGCAAAGAATCAAAATAACAGTGGTTAGTTACCTCTTGGGAGTGGGGAATTTAAGAATTCTTCTTTTCTGAGAAAAAAATCTATAGACTGAGTGGACAAGGGAGTGGAGGGGGCAGGAGTGGACACTACTTCAGAGGCAGACCAGGAGAGGCCTTTACACCAACTAAGAGGCCAAGACAAGAGCCTGAAGCCTCCTGGCAGATGCCCACCAAGCTCCCAAGGTTCAGGGGCTTGACTTCCTTTAGCTCAGAACCCTGGATTTGATTAAGTCCACTCTTTATGCTGTCCACATGTCCTATGATCATTCACTTTATTTTCGTGTGTGTGTGTGTGTGTGTGTGTGTGTGTGTGTGGTGTTTACATTTTCTGTTACTAGCAGCTGGCCTGAGACTTCAAAGACAGGAGGGAGTTTTTTTCTTTTTGGGCTGGAGTTTGAAAGACATAGTAGCCTGCCCGAGGGACCAGACAGGGGTGGGTGATCTCAGAGGGAAAAGTTAGGGTCATTTGCATAATGAAACTTTCCTTCCCCAGGGCTTTTTTTTTTCTTTTTCTTGAATGGAACCTGGAGGGCTGTGTTTAAGAGAAGCTGCTCTCCTATCACTTTACGTGGTGGTCCCATCTTTGACAACGTTAGGGTAACCAGGGATGCTTCAGGGGCACTCCCTTCTCCCACATGAGGGAGCTTCACAGGCACTGGCTGCCTATCCCTCTACAATGTGACTTTTATCACTGAGCAAGAAAAAGCATCTCCTCCCTTTCAAGAGGTCAGGGCCCTTGAAGCAGGAACTATGGGTGGGAGGCAGGCAGACCTCTCACCTCACCAGAAAAGGTTCAGAGTTCTGGGAAAGCTGAACTCAGGAGAAGATTCTCTGTGCTTCCCCAATACCTGCTACTCAGAAATGAATAAATTAAATTGACTGCACCAGGGATTTGGCTTCTAGATCTGGGGCAGTCTGAAGCCAATCTGAATTTAAATCATGTCCCCAGGGATCCCTGGGTGGCGCAGCGGTTTGGCGCCTGCCTTTGGCCCAGGGCACGATCCTGGAGACCCGGGATCGAGTCCCACGTCGGGCTCCCGGGGCATGGAGCCTGCTTCTCCCTCTGCCTCTGTCTCTGCGCCTCTCTCTCTCTCTCTGTGACTATCATAAATAAATAAATTTTAAAAAAAATTAAAAAAAAATAAAAATAAATAAATAAATAAATAAATAAATAAATAAATAAATAAATCGTGTCCCCCACAGTGAAGCTTTTACTCTCTAGGAAATTGGGGGGGGGGGATTGGGGAAGGGACTTAATCAAATGCTCAGCCAAAATTGCTCAGGCCCTAGAAAAGGTGGCAGCTCTTAGCAGTGGGGTCAGAGAATTCAAAGGATGTTCTCGTAAATGCCATGGTCTCTGCAGGCCAAGATAAAAGATGTGTCATAGGGAAGGTATCATAGATGTCCTATCCTCTGCAGGAGAAAGGACATTGGGACCTCTGGGCACCAGGCAAGGTGGCAGCCACAGGAATCCAGGTGAGAGATACTCATGCGGTGAGAAACACTGGTTACTCCCCAAGAGAGGTTTTCCAGAAGACAGAAGACATTTTTACTGCACCCACACCCACACCAAAGTACACACACAAATCTTTGAAAGGTAGTACCATTTTATTTAGTGTTGTAGAAATTTTAGGTTACTTCTTAAAAACAAAACCAAAGAGATTAAAAATTCCCAAAGTAACAAGGCAGGAAATAATTTTATAATTCAAAAACGCTGGGTGATGGGTGGAAGAGGTCAAGTTAGTAGCTCACATAATAGATATTGAGAAATGCAGAGTTTAGGTTGGTATGACTACTAGGAGGCTAAATTCTCCACCTAGGGCAATTAATCCGTCAGCCTAGAGGCATCATTAATTCATAGTTCTCAAAAAGGAAATACAAAGGTCAGTTGGGAAGGAGGGAAGATCCTACCTAATTTAACATTAAATTGCCTCTGGCCTTCAATATGGTATGTGACTGAGTGTCATGGCTCCTCCCTCCTCTCTGCCCTTTTGAGCTCCTGCTGTTAGCAAAGCTGGAAACCACACACACACACACACACACACACGTATCCCATCCGTGTGCACACATACCTCTCACTCAAGGTCAACAGCTCTTCAGCATGGCAAAGGTCAGACTTTCTTGTTCCTCCATTCTGCCCCCCCCCCCCCCATGAGAGCACACAGGAATAAAATAGAGGGCAGGAAATGTGTCAAAGTTCAAGGAATGAGATGATAGAAAATAGGCAAAGGACTGACATTTTCCTCAGGAGGCTGACCTCCCCACTGAAGTTCCGTATTTAATCTGATGCTTTCCTAAAGTACTAACTGCTCTTTTTGGAGGCAGTCAGGCAAGGCCAGGAAAAGAGATGCTCCTGCTTCTTTCTCCAGAACACAGCTTTCTCCCAGAGTCCTTCAATCAGGTTAGCATTTATAGTAGCTCAAGGCAAGTCCCAACTCTCCTCCTGTGGGTGGGTGCACGCCCTCAGACACATGCCAGTTGTAGGAGCTCCATTGCTCTGATTCACCAACCCTTGCTAAAGGTTCAGAGCAGACTTTGCCTAGATAAATCCTTCCCCAAAGTAGACTCCTCGAGGACAGCCATTACCTAAGGCCCTCCCAGGCTATCTACTTTGAGAGGTACAGGAATGCTACAAATTAGATTTTTTTTCCCAGCAGTGGTAGATGCCAGACACCCTTGAAGTAAATTGTCCTTCATTCTCCAGAGTTCCTAAGTGCATTTCAGAGCACAGGAATCCATTCCCCTACCCTGATGTCCCTCTCAAACACTGACTGAGTTACATACCTGAGGTCCTAGCAGCAGATAATATCTCCAGACCAAGCACCTCTTGTGAGCAATGCAGGTCCCCACACCAACTCTTCTAAGGAGAAATCATTCAGAGCACACCTGACCCCAGTGCCCTTGGGTTATCACAGTCAAAATATGCTTATAAGTAAAAAATATACTGCAGAATGAATATATACATGTACATTTTCAGAGCTGAGGTGAATATCTGGTTCTCTTTATAGGTATGTAAATAACTTTCATAGCACTACAAAAATACAAGTCCTCTGAGAAGTTTACAGTGGTCCCCACTTCTGTAAGAGAGTATTAAATAAAACAGCTATAGGTAATCAAAAGCTGATTAATCAAGTTATAGTATCATCCTTCGGATTAAAGTGCTCCGATATAACTAACATTGCAGCAAACATGTGCTCCTGAACGGGGTTCTGCTGACAACCGTCTTGCCTCCTCCGGTACATAGAACAAGAACAAGAACATACAGAAAAGACCCCCAGCCTTATAACCGTTGTTGCCTCGAGCCCTGCCCACCATGCTGGCCTGTGATCTCCTCTCCCCCACTCCATCCCCAAGGGAGCTCAAGGCTCTGAGATGATTCTGTGACAGCCACAAGCAACACAGAAACATTCTAATTCCAGTATTAGGTTCCGAACAATGAAACTACCTGAGGGACCCGAACCAGGGCTATTAGTTCAGAAGTGTCCTAGCTTTAAAAAAAAAAAAAAAGAAAGAAAGAAAAGAAAAAAGGTGTGTCTGTCTAGATTTAAAAATACCACCAACCAAAACTAAGTGTTATCTTCTTGCTCTTCATAATTTTATAACAAGGATGGTGGAGGAGTGCCAGGAAGTGTTGCTGAGGAAATCAGGGAGCCAAGCAAAGGCACCAAGGGAACAGGCCACAGGAGTCCTACTAAAATCATTCCATACCTGGTGGAACTGAGTTAATAAATGCTTGGGTCACCCGATCCCTTCTCAAGGCACTGATGGGGCCACACCAGCCAGCAGGAACCTGGCTACCATGAGACTTTGATCAACCCTTATTAGTGAGTGCAAAGTGACACATGCCCTCTTCTACTTCTCATGTCTCCATAGACAGGCCCTGTGGATCGATAAGGAACATGTTGTAAGGCTAAAGAGTAGTGGTAGCTGGTGTTTAGAAAAGGCAGCTCGTTCAGAATCTACAAGGCACACTCAAAGGCTTTCTTTAAACTCCCCTGCTTCGGGCAAATCAAGACCAAGCCCAAGAAGCCCAGAAGGTTTGCACAGGATCAAAATTTAGCACCTGCAGCCAAAAGCCACCCTAAGCTACTAAAAAACCAAGCAAGTAAGTGTAATGCAACACCAACTGCCCGGTCCTTCTCATTTCACCCCCTAATTTACTGACTGGGCGGGGTGGGGGTGGTAGTATGTATTTTAAACATCAATATCGAAGAAAGAAAACCCCAATGTTAAATACCCGAATAACCCTGCATCATCTGAATCTCTGGACAGATCTTATGACCACATCTCTGGTCAGAGAATAAAGTACTTACAATATCGTTAAAGGCACAGTGGCATTTAAAAACAAACCCCTGGGAATGTACAGCAAGAGATTCATTGTAATAATTAACCTGGCTTTGGCTGGTGGAGCTGACTCTTGCCAGATAACACACAGGGAGGCAGATGGTGACTTGGAGCCTGAAGGCTGGTTATCAGGCATACGGAGTCCCTGACCTCAGGAGCAGGTAGAAACAAACTCACAGAACAGTCTCAGTGTCAAGGGTGACAGTTCACATCTTTCCTGCCTTTTTGCCGACCTGAGCCGGAACTCGGAGGATGTTGGGGGTTTCTTCCATGACCCTGACTAGCAGATTGTCAATGTAGTCTTCCAGCTCTCGAACCTGAAACTCCTTCTTGCTTATTGTCTCCTTCTGTTTGAGAACCAACTGGATCAGCTCATCATGGGTTAGCTGTGCATAAGCAAAGGCAGGGTCCGAGGGGTTGTATTTCTTTAGAAGGGGGAGAAAGGGAAGAAAAAGTGTAAAGTCAGCAAAAAAGGCAAATATCTAAAAGAAATATAAAAGAGGAAAACGTTATTAGCGATCGGGGTCTCCTGGGAACGTATTTTCAATTCAGGTGGAAAACTGGTTAGGGACAAAGGACCGGAGAGTAAATATTTAAGGCTTTGCAGGCTACATATGGCCTTTGTTGCCTGTTCTTTGTTGTTTTGTTTGTTTCTGTTTTATGACTTTTTAAAAACATAAAAACCAAACTTGGCTCATAGGCTACAAACCCCTGGATTAGACTCTGGATTTGAGATTTTAGGAAATGGGATTTTGAGATTTGGAAGTCTGTGAACACTAGGACCTGGCACAGTGAAATATCAATGCGAAGCTGAGAGCCCCAAGCTAAGGTGGCCCATGAAGAAACCCTAGTGATGACAGAAGATACGGGAGATGATGCTCACCTGCCATCACCCCAGGTAGTCACTCATCCCAGACTACCTGCTGCTTCCTCCACTACACTCAGCAGGACTCCATGGTTAGGTTGATGCACTGGCCACTCAGAGACCCCACTTTAAGTCATTTCACACTCAAGAAATATGCTAAGTGCCACCACAATGCATCACCTAGTCATCACCCTCAGACGTCATGGTGTACCCTCTGGGCATACAGCGGCCAGAGCCAGGGCTGAGCTGTACCACTGTTGGCAAGAGCAGGAGCCCTAAGGAGTTACTCCATCAGCATTTATAATCTGGGATGACTGGAACCCAACTGCAAAGTGACCAGGCCCAAACCATGAGGAAACACAAGATAAGGACTGAAAAAAGGTACCATGTTGTACCAAGTCTCCACTTGGAGAAACTAAGTCAAGAGCAGAATCATCATTCACTCTTTTGACAACATAATCAAAGGCCCTGCTCAGTCCAGTGACGTAAGCTGCCTATCCACTAGCTAGAAATCAGAGGGAAATCCCATCCCTCTTATCCTGGCTCAGAAGGAAAGCAGAGTGCCTGTATTACTGGCTTAGAAGCACACCCTGACAGGGCACCCAGGTGGCTCAGTGGTTGAACATCTGCCTTTGGTTCAGGGCATGACCCCAGGGTCCTGGGGAGCTCCCAGTGGGGAGCCTGCCTCTCCCTCTACCTATGTCTCTGCCTTTCTGTGTGTCTCTCATGAATAAATTAAAAAAATCTTAAGAAAAAAAAAAAGGAAGAAGAAGTACACACCGACATTTCTATGCACAGAGCAGGTTTTCACCTAACACAGGCTGCCCAGAAATAGGTGAGATATTGGACTACTTTTTTGAAAAACCACTTCTCCCTTAATCCTTTTGTTTTTCAACTTGTTGAAGGCACACATTCCTCTGGACCTCAATCATCCTATTTGTAATGCTAAAACAATCTCCAAAAAGTTGAGTGTCTGGAAAAGAATTCTGGAGACTGGGTGTACAATGTGAATGTACTTAACACTACTTATCTGTATACTTAAAAATGCTTAAGATCTCTCATGCACTGTTGGTGGGAATGCAAGCTCGTGCAGCCACTGGGGAACAGTATGGAGGTTTCTTAAAAAATTAAAACTAGAATCGATCCAGTAATTCCACTTCTAGGTATTTATCCAAAGAATATAAAAACACTAATTGGAGAATATATATATGCATTCCTATGTTGGGTGCAGCATTATTTACAACAGCCAAACTACGGAAGCAGTCCAAGTGTCCCTCCACTGATGAATAAGGAAGATGTCATCTGGAGGCAGGAGCAGGCAGGTGCTCCTTGAGAGTAGAGACCAGGTCCCTACAGTGCCTTACACGGGGGCACAGGGATTTGGGTTCCAGAGAGCTGGGCAACCAAGAGCCCACAGCTACATAGGAGACTGGGACAAACTTCAAAGATGGGGAGTGATAGGTCAACTAGACTTTGGAAATGAATTAAAATTAATTTCCCCAGGGGAACTTGGTTGGCACAGTCAGCTAACTGCCTTCGGCTCATGTCATGATCCCAGGGTCCTGGGATCTCAAGTAAATAAATAAAATCTTTTTTAAAAATTAATTTCCCCCCAAAATAACAGAATTCTGTTTTTCACTATAAAGGGAATGTTTTCTCATAATGGAAAATCTCAAAGACAGAAGAGAGAAAAAATTATCATGTAACTTCAACACGTAACAGTTGGGTTTCTTATTTCTTCCTTGGTTTCTTTATGGTATGTTTTACAACTTTAAGCATCATGCAGAATATGGCTTTCAAGTGTTTTAAAATTATTTTATGAGCATTTTCCTATCATTAAATTTTAGCAAAAATCATTTCTAATGGATACTTAAAAACTTTTTTAAAAGATTTTATTTATTTATTTGACAGAGAAAGCAAGAACACAAGCGGGGGTGGGGGGGCAGAGGGAGAGGAAGAAACAGACTCCCCACTGAGGGAGCCTGATGCGGGGCTCAATCCCAGGGCCCCAGGATCAGGACCTGAGCTATAGGCAAACACTTAACCCACTGAGCCACCCAGGCGCCCCTGGAGGCTTAAAATTTCATTATATTTTACTCATCTCTCTATTGCTAGATATTTAGGTTGTTTTTTGGGGGGAGGGTTGTTTTTATTAAAATGCATGAGCATAAATCTTTGATCATATCTCTAAAATATTTCCTTATGATAAATGCATGGGGTTGAAAAGGCATGTACATTTCATGCCTTACAAACTATGAAACAGCTATTTAATCTGGATATCATAATCCAAAGGAAAAAGTACATAAGTCTTTGAAATCATTAGGCAATCCTAGATATGTGATGATTTAAAAAATTATAAAACAATCCAGCATTCCAGAAAGTGAGCAACAGCCATGGCGAGGAAGAGGTACAAAGAAAATACCCATTAATTCAAGAAAAAACAGTGCCCATTGTCACAGATTTCCTTCCAGGATTTTCACATTGGATGTTCCCTCCTGTAGGTGTAATAATAATGACGTATATTCAAATTTGTATCCAACTTTTTCCATTATTAACAGGATAGATGATTTTTGGATCTAGTTGGCTATATTATTTTTAAATGGAAGTGTTAAAGCCACCTGGGTAAATAAATAACACTCCTAAGTTATAAATCATCTATAAGGGGTGGAGGCCCTAAAACAGTAACCAAAAGAAAAAAAAAAAACCACTATAGTAATGATTCGGCTAGCTTTTCATAACTTTAGCTATGCAATTTCTTTCCCTAACCTCTCTTTTACTTTGCAACATTCCAAGGAGTAGTTACTTTTATAAATATTATTTATGGCTTAGTACAAAGCATCTGTTATATGGAGGGCCACGAGGAGTCTCTAGGAAACTTTCCATATATACTCAAAATATAAAAAAAAAAAAAAAGAATATTTACTAGGTATGGTCCAGAACTAAGCCCTTTGTTGCAGGCAGTCAGAGGGGCAGCGGTTGGGCTTACAGATCATGAGCAAAATAAGCAGCAGTTGCCTTTGTTTTAAGGCAAGTTATTCTCTCAGTCAGGGCCAGGAGATAAGCCCGTGACTAAATGAGCTTTGAAGAATAAATAAAATGGGAGCCAAGGGTCTTGGTCACTTCCCGAGAGCTAGGTGTTTGTTTCTCTTTGGAGCCCAGCTGCATTCCACAGTAAAAGGAAGAGGGGATGGGAGGCTGCTCCATGACCCTGGTTTTCATTACTGTCCCTTTTATGCTGTTCTTTTGCCTGGTTTCCTGATAAATATCATTAGCTCCAGGAAAGTACGCGCAGCCTCTTCTCCACACCCACAGACACCAGCCAAGTTGAGCCAGGCGAGTCATGGTGCATTTTTAGGCTGGGGCTAAAACACAGCAGGTACACCATGCTGGCTACGGCAGATACCAGATACCTCTGAGAATGAGGCTCAGTTACCATCAGCCCCGGCAGCATGTGGCACAACGGAAGAGAAGGCAAGGCGGCTGGAAGATGCTAACTTGTTCGCATTGACCATCTCTTACCACTACTCAGCCTCTTTACCTGAACCTCAGATCTCCAGCTTTCAGTGAGCCTTTCACTAGCTCCTGGTGGCAGACAGGCGATGGAGCCAGAGATAGTAACAACTAACTGGCACTTTAAAAATGCTTGCAGGAGTAAAGGAGACACAGCAAGAAGTTTCTGTTCTAATAACTCAAAAACTACTTGGTATCTTACAGTACAGAGGATGTAAAACCCCTGATTGAATGAAGCGTTTAGATGCCATGGACTAAAACAGAAATAAAGTTTATTTCTACTGATGGTGGTGGTCCCCAGTAGTCAGGAAATTCCTCTCCACATATTTGAAATGCAACACATCCTTGCCCACCAGTCCCTCAGTAAATCATTCTCCTCCAGCCCACGTGACCAATGAGTCAAAGCCCTGAGGTTTGCAACAAGACAGTGCTCTAAATCCTTCTGATTTTAGAACCAGAAAGGGCAGGATAGAGACACTGCAAAGCAGAGACCATTCAGGGGGTTGGTTTGGTTTGGTTGGTGGGCAGGAGTTCTTTTTTTAAAGTTAACCCAAGCTTTTTTTTTTTTTGGTATATATATATATTTTTTATTGGAGTTTGATATAAGCCCAAGCTTTTGAAAGAGAAGAGATCCTCTAGTCAAGCGATATTCTTCCTGGAAATTTAGCTTAAGGGGACAAGTTCAATGCAAGAAATTGACGATAGTGTTATTCACACTGAAAAACAGAAAACCACCCAAATATCCAATAACAAGGGAACAGTTAAGTAAATATTGCTATAACCATTTTAAAGAAAAATTAAGTAGTAACATGCAAAAACGCTTATGATCTACTACTGAATGAAAAAGAACAGTGTTTCAAACACTACCATATTCACCAATGCATATGAAAGCCTGGGAACAAAAGGTCGGTAAGGAACAAGACACTTACGTCATCTGAAATTAGTTCCCCACGAATTTCATATTGATTGTAAATGGGGGAAAATAGCAACTTTCCACTAGAGAACCTCACAGACACCTCCTAAAGTTGGTCATCAGAGTTAACATTCCTACTACCGCGACAGGCGGACATAATGTGCCTCCTTTTATGATGCACCGAGAGGGACCCGCGATTTTCGAGGTTAATTCCTGCCAGGATTGTGTGACCTCAACCAAACCATGAGGAGACAGCAGACAAATCCAAACCAAGGAAAATTTTACAAAACAACTGATAGAAAGCCTTAGAGAACGTCAAGATCTTGAGAGACTTTAAGAAGGCTGGGGGAGCTATTCCAGGATAAAGGAGCCTAGAGAGAGAGACAGCAACGAAACAGCGAGAGATCCTGGATTGGATCCTGGACTGGAAAGAAAAAACAGGAAAACTAAGGAGCACACTTATGAGACAACAGGTGAAGTGCATGTATGGGCTACAGATGAGAAAAGAGGATGACACCAATTTTAAACACCTTGATCTTGATTCAATGTCCTTATTCTTAGGAATTCCACACTTCAGTATTTAGGGATAAAAGGGGCATGAGGTAGGCAACTTACCCTCCAAGGGTTCAGACAAAAGAAAAAAAAAGATGTATATATAAAGAGAGAACAGAGAGGGAGGGGGAGAGAGAGGGTGAAAATGATAAAGCAAATGTGGTAAAATGTCAACAACTGATGAATAGGGAAGAAAGGTTTATAGGGGTTCCTTGTACTATTCTTTGCAACTTTTTTTTAAGTTTGAAATGACTGCAGAATAAAGTTTCAAAAAAGTATATCTAGGCAATGATTAACAACCACAAGAATTTTACATTCTTGCCAAAAGATAAGAAAGGATATGTGGGAAAATGAAAAATCCCTGATTGGAACAGACCAGATGGTGGGTCATATCTTCTTCTTGCTAGAAAGAAGCGCCCATATCAGTCACATTGCTTGAGACACAAGCAATTCAACAATAATTAAGTAAATATGAGGAGAACAATAATAATCCCCTGGGAAGTGTAGGGACTTCCAAAGATTGTCCAAAGACCCAGACATAGGGTCAAGTGGCTCCTGGTGTTACCTGCTGCCTTAAGGAGGTATATATAATGGTGACTCTAGAAACTTTTTTTTTTTAAATAGATCCTGAGTAGCACGCCTACTTCTTGGAGAAGACATACCTTCATCATGGTTTCGTTGATCAAGTTCTCACTGATGATGGTGGCAGTGCCCAAGCTGGAGTTCGCAATCTTGGTGGCTGTTGTGTTCATTGGCTTCACGGGATGAAGTCTAAAGAGAAGAGGGTAGGATCCTTAGACCTTTCTGCAATGGCCAAACCAAGAAACTATCCATCTCACGGACGGCAGCCAGTGAGACAGACAGGAGGGCAGAGTGGTGATACATTCTGTGCACACCTGCAGTCTCACACACGCCAGTGTTCCTGTGGTAACGAGGGCAGTCAGCACTAGGCCACCGCACACAAACCAACCAAGCACACTCAACAACCAGGTGTCCCAATGTTCTCACAAGACCCTTATCTCATTATCAATGTCAGAAGAACACGAGACACAGCCTCTTATTTTTGAGGCAGCTACAGCCTAGGACTGTCCTGTGTGAGTCCCTACAGAGCCTTCTGTTCCTCCACAATAAAGAGTTGGGAACAAACAGGCCAGCTTTACCTTGGGCGGAGCTTAAAGCAAGCTTCCAACACTGCCCCATTCTATCACTCCATCTCAGTTGGTTTCTGATACTAGGAAGGTACTGGTCACAAGACATCTCTGTGATCTGAGAGCCCCAAATCTGACTGTCCAGCGTAATTCCTAAACTATCTCTAAAGACTAATCTTGCATCCTCCCTGCAAATGCAGGAGTATCTTGAGAAGGTGTTCCCACCACTGGGCAGACCCTTTAAAAATGAGCCTTACCAGCAAAATGTGCAGGAGGTACCACCTGGATATCCATGCAGCTAGAAAGCCCTTATCTCTGCAGGCAAAAGGCAAAAAGGGCCGTGGGAAGGTGGGGAGGATCGCTCACATTGACAAAACAATCTTCCCCGACTCTCACCTGTGCTTGGCTGACCCCGTTCCCGTGCTTGGCTGAGCTGAGACTGGCTGTGTCTCTGAGGGTGAGACCCAGGCCTGAAGAAGCAGCTTCCTCTTGCCAGAATTTTCCACTTTATCAGCGGAGCCCTCTGCTGTTGCTTTTTTTTGAGATTCTGCTGTACTGGTGTGGTGAGTGTCAGCATGTGGGTGGCTGGGGAAAGAGTGTGTAATAGGAAAGGTCTCAGAAAAGGAGGGGCTGGGTACAGGAGAGTCGAGGGCTGTATCAGGAGGCTGGCTGGGACTCCCATTTCCCATCAGCTTTTCCTTCTTGCCACAGCCAGGACCTGGCAGCTGTTTATCCAAGCGTGAGCTCTTGCCAAGCTCTGGTTTATGAATTCCTGAAGCTGGAGTTGGCTCTGAAGAGGCCATAACAGATGCTTCGGGTGCTTTTGACCCGAGGTCAGGCAGGCTCTCTACAGGCGCCGCCCACCCATCTGCCTCGCCCCTCGGCCCCTTCTCCATCTCAGGATGGGCATGTGACATGCTCACGGAGGAAGGTCCTACTTGCAGGGCTGCCACCTGGGCTGTCTCTCTGTCATCTTCACCCTGATCCACCCTTTCGTCATCTGACGCCACTTCAGGAATTGCAGGAAGGGTTAAGCCCAGATCAGCCATGACTGGAGAGTTAATACCTGGGATAGAGTGAAGGTCACTCAGGGGATCAGACAATAAACCTTCGTGATCACTGGCTTTGCTCTGATTTTGAGCCGTAGGCGTATGGTCTCGCTCAATCCTTAAGAGTGGGATGTCTTTCCCTGAGCTTGCCTCACTCACGGAGCCTTCTGAGACACACTCCTTGGAAGAGGGGAAGTGAAGGGGGTCTGCCATGGAAGCTGGCACACCATGCTTCACTGGCCCAGGTGCAGACACAGCTTCCGTCTCTGTGACCTCTGCGTGGAAACACCCAGCAGGCTCTCCATCTGACAGGTTTCCAGAGGTGGCTCCTTTGTGTGTCACCTCCTGGGGATTATCTCTGTGCTCTTCCACCAACCCAGTGGACTCCTCTAGCTCCTCTTCCATAAAGATCTCCTCTGAAAATGATACACGCTTCTTGATTTTCTTTCGGCTTTCGTCAACATTCTCTTTGTGTCTCTGCATCACAGAGCCAAGAGTGGGAGCTGATTCTCCAGACTGAAGAGGGGGTGCCGCTTCTTTAATTGCAGAAGTCATGCTGCCCCCCTTAACTCTGTTCTCCCCAAAAGACCCAAATGGATGCTCTGAGCCTGTGTGTTCCCCCATCAGAGGCCTCCACGCCGGGCTCTCAATCTGGCCACTTCTGAATGAAGGAGCAAGTGTTACTTCTTGGGCCTCTTGAGACGAAGGGGCATAGCCTTGTTCTGAGTGGGGAGCCCTCTGAACTTCTTCCCGTTGGGCCATTTCAGGTTGCTTCAGGAGAGACCTTTCTGAGTCATGACCGACGGTGCTCTCCAGGCCTATCTCACTGGTCTTCCCCATTGGATAATCTTCCATTCCCTTCCACGCTGGAGTGGGGAGCTGTTGGAAACGTGACCCCGAGGCACAAGAAACAGTCTTTGGATCTTGTGTTAAACTCTCTCTTAACAATTCTGCCTTATGGAGCAAAGATGGTTCTTCAGGACTGGCCTGGCCCTGGTCTGTGGGGGGCCAGTTTTCAACCGGCGTGGATGTGGAAATGGGAGCCACAATGGGAGATGAGAAAGAGAAGACAGAAGGAGATTCAGAGGATGGTGTCTCTGCACAACACCCCAATTTAGAAGGGACAGGTGTCTGGCCAGAACTGGACAGAAGAGCAGAAAAAAAGAGAGTAGAGTCAGGGGAAGAAGGAAGCCTGGCTGTGGCTGGAGCCTCTGGAGACACGTCCAGTCTGCAAAAAGGACAAAATAAAATCTGCAGGTCAGTTGCAGATTCATTGTGAGAGGCGATAAACACTTAAAGGATAAAGGTGTTCCAAAGGGGAGAGCACTTTAATATTTGGGGCAGTATTTTAAGAAGTTAGAGAAGGAACATTAATAACATATGAAAGGGACACTTTTATCACCAAGCACATCTGCCACGCGAAGGGCTGCTGCAACACAGAAAGCTCCAGGTAAAGCAACAGCCTACAGTCTCTTTTGGTGATAAACAAAATACATTGAAAAATTTCAAAGCAATAAAGGATGCACTCAGGGTAACAGGCACCAGTTTTGAAGAGGAACAGTCTGCGTGCATGTGTGTGTGTGTATGTGTGTGTGTGTGTGCATGTGTGTGAAATCAAAGTAAAGCAGAATCTCAAAAAAAGTCTCTACCACCCCAGACCACAGAAACATTGTCAGTGTGAATGTGAGTCATGCTGAAAGCAGAAGCCCCCCGACGCTCACTCAGGCTTTTGCAACAAGATGCACAACTGAACACTCAGAGAACCGTCCCAGGCATCCTCGAGAGTGGGCCAAAGGCCTCCCGTGCCAGCAAAGCAATGCCACGTTGCAAGGAGGAAAGATACCATCCTCCTGAAAGGGCAATATGTGATAAGAACTTTAAACAAAAAAAGAACTTTAAATAAAAACACATGTTCTGCTCATACCACAGCCAAAACCTGGCATTCCCATTTGCAATACTCAGAGTCAGCTGAGTTTTCCACGGGGGTCTGATTATCTTACTGAGATGGACAGACCGCGCCTGCTGGCAGGGGCTTTGGGCTGGGATGCACCACTGCAGCCCGGGCAGGGTGGGCCAGGCAGGCAGTATAGGCTGATAAAAATAACTCAGATGATGAAATGCTTGCCATACACAGCTACGACCACGGACCAGCAAGCAAGATCTGCTCGGCCAGTAGACCTTGCTGACTACCCTGGACAGTGAGGTGTGGGCCCCTGCCCGAGGAGGGCTAGGACTCACCGTGGCTTGACAGCTTTCGTTTGCGGTGCCCTCGTAGAGCCGACGGGGGGTGTGGGTTCAAACGTGAGCTGTCGGTCAGGTTCAGGTTCTGTGACCCGCACTTCTTCAAACGGGTTCAGGGAGCGGCCCTGTCCAAAGACAACGGCCACAGTATCCTTCTCAGATCGTTTCCCTAGGTCTTCGTCAGGCCCTGGCTGGTCCTCCCTCGGTTTGACTTCCATCGATGTGCCTTCTGTCTCCTTCCCTGGGATGGTAGGAGGGCTTCCACCTTCGCTGCCCTTGGCTGCGTCCTTCTTTCCTGTCACCAGGGACAGCAAAGAGGACTTCTTATTCTCCTGCTTCTTGCTCTCTTTGGTTTCCTTTGCAGCCTCCAAGCTCGCTAGTGCTGCGTTCTCCCGAATATCCCCACTGACCTGTGGCCGGTAGGATGGCAGAGACATGGATTTGAGAGAGTCCTTTGTGGAAGACTCAGACAACCGCCTGTCGGAAGACACTGCCCCTCCATCCCCAGGCTCCTTCCAAGACCGAGTCGCCAGGTTTTCGGTGGAAGAGAACAGATGCTTCTTCCGGAAGCCCTGGGGAGACGGGGAAGAGGAGGGAGTGCTCTCCTTCGTCTCGCCCTTGGTTTCCGGCTGCTCCAAGTAAACATGGTTCCCATTGATACAGACGTTAGAGCGAGAAAGGACATCATTCTTAGACCGAAGGCCACCAAAAAAGGAGGGTCCTTCCCTCTTGGGCAGGCTGAAATTGCTCTGGTTCAGTTGCTTAGGATCTGCACTCTCTGTTCTCTTGTGAGACATGACTGCAGGGAAGAAAAACAAAAACCAAAAGGAAACAAGTTAAATGACTGGTTCACAACTGGAAAGGGGTAACATCTCTCCGTGCCTGAATACATTTTTGTTTACTGGCATGACGGTGTGTTACAGCATCTAACAGGTAGAAGCCAGGGATGCGGCTAAAGATCCTACAATGCATGGGGCAGCCCCTACAACAAGGAGTTATCTGGCCCAAGCTGCCAAGAGTGCTGAGGTCCAGAAACCCTGCATTAAACCAATGAGAAGGGCCGAATCTGGCCAAAAGTAAGAATTTAGGCATTGAAATTGAAGTTCAAATTCACAGTTAAAGGAACTAGATTCCTCAACCTTAATTAAGGATAATTCCCATGAAGGTTAAACACATTAATAGGATCTCAATAAATACCTGATGAACTAATGAAATGTCAGAATTACTCTAAGGTTCCATGATTTTACCCTTAATTTAAAAAAAGAAAAACCTGGATGCATGCATTCTGTTAATTCCAAAAGCTTTTTTTTACATATACAGATTTTATTTATTTGAGATAGAGCATGAACAGGGGGAGAGCCAGAGGGAGAAGCAGGCTCCCCGCTGAGCAGGGAGCCTAAGGTGGGGCTCGATCCCAGGATCCTGGGATCGTGATCTGAGCCAAAGGCAAATGCTTAACTGACTGAGCCACCCAGGCACCCCCTCAAAGCTTTTTTTAATGGACATCAGCAACAGAGCCAGACATTTTAGAAAAGGAATTTATACATTCTTAGAAACCAGAACACTTAGAAATAGAGAAGACTTTGTAACCAAGATTATCCACCATAATGACCATCATCACCATCATCATGGCCAACATCACCTGCTCCCTCATGACCATCATTTCAGTAACCAAGGAACCGAATCAAAATCTTTAAGACTTGTTTCTCTCTCTCTCTCTTTTAAAAGATTTTATTTATTTATTCATGAGAGACACAGAAGGGGGGGGCCAGAGACAGGCAGAGGGAGAAGCAGGCTCCATGCAGGGAGCCTGATGTGGGACTCGATCCCAGGTCTCCAGGATCACACCCTGGGCTGAAGGCGGCGCTAAACTGCTGAGCCACTCAGGCTGCCCTGTTTCTTCTCTCTTAAAGCAAAGTAGGCTGAGAGAGAGAAAGAGCGCTCAAGCAAGGAGGAGGAGAAAACTCACCATCCGAGGCAGAAGACGACTCATCCTCATTGTCATCATCCTCCCACCGGGATTGAAAGTCTCCAGGACGAAGCAAGACCTTGTCTGACTTTGACGTAGGCAGGACAGACATGGACTGGGAAAGTGGTGTTTTCTGCAAATTAGACTTGGAAAACAAAGTCTTGATCTTCGATTTCTTTTTCTTGTCTTTTAAAGGAGACTCATCGTCACTATCAGCTGAGGGCGTCATGCTGGGAACGATGGCGGAGGCAGTGTCCGATGCATTGTCCTTAGGTTTCCCCTTGATCTTGTCCTTCAGCTTCCCAAATGGATTCCGAGACTTGTCTTTCATGGAGAGGTCAAACATGCTAGCAGTCATGTTGTTTCTCATAAACTGGATGTCAACCTCAATTTCTCCTCGCTCTTTATCCTTCTTTCCTGGTTTGGATTTCAAGGTGTACCACCTACAAGGAGAAAGGCTGAGAGGTTACATTGGGATCAAAAAGTCTAAAACAATGTTCACAGTCCCCATTGACTGGCCTCTCTTCTCTGCTACCACCAGCCTCTTATATAAACATATTCTTGGACTCTCTTCTTGGGAGTAGAGGGTGGGACAGGGACTGAGGTCAGGACTGGTAATTTTATTTTTAAGACACCCACTAGGCAAAGCTATGATTGGATCTTATACTTCATGTATAGTCACTTAGGATCTTGATTCAATAGCTATTTCTGAAAATAAAATAAATAAAATATCCCATCAAATCATTTCCTCTGACTGGTATTTTTCTTCAATAGAGTAAAAATGCAAAGATCTCATACAGTTAAGAAGACAAAATGCAAATTTACATAAAAATCTCAGGAAAAAAAAGCAAGTTTATAGGATGGGTCCCTGTCAGGGAATAATAGAAAATGTAAGACAGAGTAAATGCTTATATGTGTTGTTCGTTTGTTTCAAAAAGAGTGAAACAAAAGCCAGTCACAGAATGACAAATATTGTATGACTCTACATATATGAGGCACCCAGAGCAGTCTAATTCATAGAGTAGAATGGTTGTTGCCAGGGGCTGAGGGCAGAAGTGAATGAACAATTAGTATTTAATGGGTACAGTTTCAGTTGGGTAAATAAAAAAGTTCTGGACAGGGATGGTGGTGATGGTTGCACCAAAATGTGAATGTACTTAATGCCACAGAACTATACACTAAAAAATGGCTACAATGGCATATTTTGCTATATATATTTTAATAAACTAAAAAAAAAAAGGAAATTGAAAGGAGGCATCGTTTCCTAGTTTAATAATCAGAAGAGGAGTATTTCAAACATTATTCAAGTATTTCAACTGGTCATTTGCAAATGATTTCACGATGTGGCAAATATTCTTTTTTTAAAAATATTTTATTTAGGGATCCCTGGGTGGCGCAGTGGTTTAGCGCCTGCCTTTGGCCCAGGGCGCGATCCTGGAGACCCGGGATCGAATCCCACGTCGGGCTCCTGGTGCATGGAGCCTGCTTCTCCCTCTGCTTGTGTCTCTGCCTCTCTCTCTCTATCATAAATAAATAAAAAAATATTTTATTTATTTATTCATGAGAGACACAGAGGGAGGCAGAGACAGAGGCAGAGGGAGAAGCAGGTTCCTGAGGGGAGCCTGATGTGGGATTCGATTCCAGGACCCGGGGATCATGCCCTGAGCCAAAGGCAGATGCTCAACCACTGACCCACCGAAGCGTCCTGATATGGCGAATATTCTATCTGCCCAACTCTACTGAATGGGAAATCCCTCTGCATTTTCCATCGGTGAACTGCAAGAATGTGAGCCTGATTAGCAGCATGACTGCCACAGAGCACAGAAGTCTGAATACATGGTCCACTAACAGCCATCCCTGGGGTTTCCAGCACAGACTGAGAAACCACATGTGGATGTTCTTTGCAGTGACCTACTTAAGAGCTGAGGGCCATGGACGTTAAGGAAATGATAGGTTTGCTCAAATGAGCACAGTTTCCTTTCTCACCCTCAGCAGGTCTTGCTCACAGGGCACATCACTGCCCCACTACCTTAGCTTACTATACACTGAAAAGAAAGGGGCACAGAGAAGCAGACACCTAACACTTATACAGTGCCTATGGTATACCTGGTATACCTGGCACTGTGCACACTTAGGGACATCCTCATCTAAGTCTCGCAAGAATGACACAGAGTGTACATTATACCCATTTTATGAAGACAGAGAGGCTCACAAGTGAGGTCACTCATACAAGGTATTGTGACTGGTAAAGGGTATAAGCAGAATTCTGAATCAGTTCTGCATTTCTCCAAAGCTCCTAATTCTTTCTCTTACACCAAGATTCCTGCTTCGCACTGTCTCCGAACTCACCACCTTCCATTGGCCATCTTCACACCACACGAGAGGAGGGCTCAGATTCAAATTCTTTCCGATGCAAGTTTAAGATGCTCACTTAAAAGTCCTCACATAAGAAAATACTAAGGAAAAAAAAAGTGTTCTCGGAAGAAAGGGGGAAAACCCACCATAGCCAGCCACCCATCATAAATCATAAGATTGTGTAAAAGTTCAGTATGCAAAGTCATCAAGAAGAATTTAAACTAGATTTAAAAAAATATAGCCAACATTGGAGAAAGTGATGTGAGCTATGATTCTGGACCTTTAGGGGGAAATCTTTTATGGTTTTTAAAACCACAGGCCACAGCTGGAGGCTGGGGGGAGATGGAAGGTGTTTAAACACAACCTCACCCCGGCCAGTCTGGTGTCTTTCCAATATACTTTCCAAGACCGAGCCTGGAATAGTTTGCATGTTTGTCATTTAGACGTCCAGAGGATTATTTGTATTTTTCTCTTCAGAGAGTCACGTGGCTAAATGGTAGCCCTGGTGACGAAGGGTGGTTAGCTTTTGTAAATATCCATTGCAGGCACCTGGAAAGGAGAAGTTGCTGAAAGCTGACTGTGGAGCTCAGATGACCACAGAGGCCACAAGCAGTTTCATCTTTCCACCCTGGGGAGATGAGTCAGTCAGGTCAGGTTGCCTCCCCAAGCTCGCCTCTCCCCTTAGTCTTGCAGGGGATGCAGAGGTGACCTGCAGAGCTTGCTGTGGACAGTTTCTGGGACTAGCCCACCCTTCCAAAAGAATCAGCACCAGTCTGTTTGTTTGGAGTGAAGCTACAACCAACTCTAGAGTCCTCCCTGGGGGACCTATTATCTGATGCACAGGTTCGGTCTCCGAGTACTAAAGTGGGATTTGTTTAGGGAACTTCTAAAACCACTAGGAGGTGTGAATAGATGCTTCAGCAACTGTTCCTATCATTTATTTTCATGGGCAAACCTAAAACCAAACACCAGGCAGCCAAGAAAGTCACAGGGCTATTTAAGGATGTAAAAAGCAGACTGAATCACAGGTAAGCAACCCCCATGCAAATGTTCAGAATTTTTAAAAATCTGTGCTTGGCTTTATTAAAGCTGGAAAGAGGACAGGAATTGTTTCTTTTAACAATATTACCCTCATTATTAAATTCATTTGAGCAAGGGTTCTTTTGACACAAGCATAATTCAATAATAAATGAAAGCCGTGATTCATAAATGTCTCACCCTAAAGAACCCAAACCAGACACGTTCGTGGGTTTCAACATTCAAGCATCAATTCGATTTTAAGTGGTTTTTTTTTTTTAAGATTTTATTTATTTATTTGACACACAGAGAGAGCTCATCCACATGCAGGGGGAGTGGAAGGCAGAGGGAGAGGGAGAAGCAGACTCCCCACCAAGGGTGCTGGGGCTCCATCCCAGGACCCTGAGATCATGACCTCAGCCAAATGCAGACGCTTAACTGACTGAGCCACCCAGGTGCCCCAATTTTAAGTTTTCTACCCATTTGGTTTTTTTAGCTCACTTAATTCCATCACCTCACGGAAATAGTTTATAAATAATAAAGTCCCAGCATGGCCACACAGCCTGTGATGGCAGTATGGCTGTGTTCCAGCATTACCTTTCATGTAGGCCCAGAAAGCTTGAATTATCTCAGAAATCAGGGCTGGGTTCATTTTCCTAGTCCAAAGGGCAGAGTACAGAAAGAAAGCCATAATCCCAAGGTAGTGAGTTTGTTTTTAAGCCCATATTCTGGAAAAATCCTGCAAACTATCAAGAAAATTAAGTGATCTCTTCTATAATAAAATAAATATTTTAAATTATTATTAAAAACTCAATTCTTCAAAAATTAAAAAGGATCTCTGAATACATAGAAAATGACGAAAACTTATATAAACTATATTTTAAAGGAATAACAGGCATGAGGTAAAAATTCAAATCATACTAAATGGTACAAAATGAAAACTTCAATCTTCGTACCCCTCCACACCCCTCAGCCAAGTGATGGTCCTGGGCATATATAAACAAAAATGCCTATTATCCAAATAGGCTGTCCTGCTTTTCAGAGGTTTTTGAGTTTGGGGTTTTGGGTTTTTTGGTCAAACCGAAAAAGGCAACACCTAAAAATATAGAAAAATTCATTTATGTCTTCTATTGCCCGAGTTCACACTGTCAAATCTCCTGGGCTTTTAAATAGTCATTTTGAGAAGAGCTAAAATTATCCGACCTTGCCCAATTCTCAGCACCAGTATGCTTCAGAGCACCTCTGTTTCTCACTACGTGGCTCAAATAGTGGAAAGCTGATCACAGGGGCCCTTCCATCGGAATGTGGCAGGGTGAGGGCAGTGTGGTTCCTGCTCTGGGGAAATGAAAAGTCTCACAGCAATGCAGACTTTCGGGATTATACTTGTAAAGGACTGGCTGGTACGCCTCAAAAATAATCTTTCTGCAGCTGAAACAAACATGTTTTTCCTTTAAAACATTCTAAGGGCAGACACATACATAGAAATGATGGCTTCAAAGATTCGATTCAAACATTTTTACATAGTAGGTACTGAAAATACCAAATGAAAAGGCCAGATTCTGCCCTAAAAAGCATACTCTCTGGGGATGCCTGGGTGGCTCAAAGGTTGAGCACCTGCCTTGGGCTCTGGGTGTGATCATGGGTCCAGGAATCCAGTCCCACATTGGGCTCCCTGCAAGGAGTCTGCTTCTCCCTCTCATGAATAAATAAATAAATAAATCATTAAAAAAAAAAAAGGCATACCCTCCAGTGGGAGAAAGAGGCCAGGCTCACCAAACATCAGAGTGTTACCTTAGGACCATTGCTGCCTTTTTCTTTCTGATTTTGAAGCATGAGAAAATAATTAGACATGGGAAGAAATGTCTGCTAAAGTATACAATTTCATTCCAAATAAGGACTCTCACACACAAACAAGGTCAGTCCTCAGCAAAATTGAATCCCAAAGAGTTATGCAAACCACCTACTTATGGGCTCCAGCAAAATAAATTAATACTGCATACTTGTATTAGACACAGGAGGCTCTAGGAAAGGGAGGGGAAGAAAGATTCCCAGCTCTACAGTTACTTCAGCA